GGCCTAATGTCCGATTCACTTAGCTTGGTTCTTGTCATTGGGTAGTTGTTTGGTCATGAGGAAGTTGATGATGGGGTCCATCCACGATGGCTCGTCCTAGACTGGGAGGACATGAGCTTCTTCAGTAGAGGGTTGAGCTAACTTCTCTACGCGAACTGTGCGACCGAGGTTTGTGCCCGAGGTGCTCGCCAACTTAGACAGGGTGTCGGCTCTCATGTTCTCGGATTGCAGGACTTGCTGTAAGGAGAAGTATTGGAAGTGGCGGGCTAGTTCTTGTACTCTGGCGAGGTGCTTGGCCATGCTCTGCTCCCTTTGTTTTGTACTCGTCGTTAGCTTGATTCACCACCAATTGAGAGTCACTAAAGACCTCAATCTGATGTAAGCCGAGGTCCTTAGCGAGCTGTAGTCTGGTGAGGAGGGCTTCGTACTCAGCTTCATTGCTAGATGTCGAGAAGTTGAACCTCAACGTGTACTCCACTTTGGCATTGTCTAGGGTGAGAATTATGAGGCCGGCTCCACTTCTCTTAGAGTTGGAGACCCATCAATGAAAAGCTTCCAGGTTGGCTGAAGCTTCCTCGACTGGACGAGGCCCTTCTTTGGCTTCACCTTTGGGGTCTCAGCGAAGGGCTCAGTTGAAAGTGCATTCTATCACAAAATCCGCCAAGGCATGGGTCTTGATTGTTGGCCTCAGTTAGTACTAGAGGTTGAACTTAGAGAGCTTGACGACCCACTTTGTTAGGCATCCGAAGGTCTCGGGCTTGGTGAGGACGGCTTTGAGAAGTTGATTGGTTAAGACCATTATCGTGTGGGCTTGAAAGTACGACTTGAGCTTCTTGGCCGAGACCACCAAGGCGAAGGCTAGATTCTCCACCTTGGGGTATCAGGTCTCGACATCACAAAGGACCTTGCTGACGTGGTGATCAACCTCTGCACTCCATCTTCTTTGATTAGGACCGAGTTGATGGCCTCATCCCTGACTAACAAGTACAAGTACAAAAAATCTCCTAGAAGGGGACGAGTGAGGAGGGGAGGTGAGGCGAGGTAGGTCTTCAGTTCTTCGAAGGCGTGTTGACACTCTTCCATCCATTGAAAGTATTTTAGCTTCTTGATGGCTCAAAAGAAAAGTAGGCAGCGGTCGGTCGACTTTGACATGAAGCGGTTGAGGGTGACCACTTGGCTGGTCAGTCTTTGTGTTTCCTTCACCAACCGAGGTGGGTTCATATCTAATATGGCCTGAATATTCTCTGGGTTGGCGTTTATGCCTCGTTAAGTGACAACGAAACCCAAAAATTTGCTTGAGGTGATGCTAAAGGTACACTTGTTGGCTTGAGCTTCATGTTGAACCTCTGCAAGGTGTCGAAGGTCTCAACTAGGTTTGAAGTGTGCACCTCGGCCTTCAAGCTCTTCACTGCCATGTCGTCTACATGGGCTTTGGCATTCCTTCCCATTTGGTTCTTGAAAACTTTGTTAACAAGGCATTAATAGGTGGCTCCGGCATTCTTGAGGCCAAAGGGCATGACCTTGTAACAGTAGGTGCCATGATCGGTGATGAACGAGGTCTTCTCCTCATCCTTGGGGTGCATCTTGATCTGGTTGTATTTGGAGAAGGCATCCATGAATATGAGTAGCTTGTACCCTGCGGTGGCGTCGACGAGGTGGTCTATCCTCAGCAAAGTAAAACTGCCTTTCAGGTAGGCTCAATTAAGGTCTATGGAATCAATGCAGATCCGCCTCTTCCCATTAGCTTTCTTTACCATAACCACATTTGACAACCAGTTAGGGCAGTGTACCTCTTGGATGAAGCCGGCGTCGAGTAGCTTGTCAACTTCTTCTCCTATGGCCTTCCAACGCTTCGGTTCAAAATTCCTCTTTCTTTGTTGAACTGGCCTAGATCTCGGGTCCATGCTTAGCCTATGAGTAATGACCGAAGGGTCAATTTCGGGCATGTCAGCGGTAGACCAAGAAAAGACATTGGCATAAGTTCTAAGGAAACTTACCAATTCGGATGAACTCTCCGAGGGAAGGTTGGACCTGATGCAGACTATCTTTTCGGGCTTAGCCTCGTCTAGGGGATCCAAGACGAGGTCCTTGGCCGGCTGGCCTCGGCTCACTAGTTCTTCCTTGAGGTTGAAGCCCTCAAGTGGCAGTGCTTCTTTATTCTTGCCCTTCTGTGCCACCACGTAGCACTAACGAGCTGCTTGTTGATCCCCCCAACTGACTATGGCATCGTGCTCGATGGGGAACTTGAAGGCAAGGTGGTAGGAGGAGATGGCTGCCTTGAGCACGTGGAGGGTTATCCTCCCAGTGATGGCATTGTAGGGGAGCCAATCCTCACAACCTGAAACTTGTTCATCCTCATCACCTACTAAGGTTCTGTTCCTACCATGACACGTAGGGTAATTGTTCCTTCTGACCGAACAACGTTGCTGGAGAAGCCGACGAGTGGGACGTCGGCAAGCTGTAGGCGCTCGGGCGCTAGCCTCACCTTCTCAAATGCTTCATAGAAGAGGATGACGGCTAAGGAGCCGCTATCTACCAGAATCCTCTTCACCAAAAAATTCGCAACGACAGTTGAGATTACAAGTGCGTCGTCATGGCGGACTATGACCCCCTTTAGGTCCTCACCTGTGAAGGCGAGGGCTTCTTCCTGCTTCGACTTCTTGGGGACTGGCCCTTGGATGTTCAGCTACCTGTCATGGGCCTTGCGGGCCAAGGCCGAGGCTCCACCCAAGACTGAGCCCCCGACTATGATGTCGATGACGCCAACAAGTTGTTGATGTTGTTGTTGCTAATACTGGGAGGATGAGGCCCTGACCTCACCCCTGACGTATTGCTTGAGGTGACCATGGCGAATAAGGGACTATATCTCGTTTCTCAACTCATAGCAGTCCTCGGTGTCATGACTAGTGTCATGGTGGTACTTGCAGTACTTCTTCGGTTTTCCCCTCTTGGGGTTTCTCTTCAATTTTTCTGGCCACTTCACGTACTCCTTACCGACCTGCATCAAGATCTAAGTTCAGGTGGAGTCGAGTGTCATGTACTAACTGTAAACTAGGGTCAAGGCCGGTGGCTTCTTGTTGTCCTTGTTGTTGTTGTTGTGGTGGTGGTCTGGTCTCAATTCTTCCTCTTCTTCTCCAGGCCTCCGTGGTGGTGCTTGGCCTCCCTGTCTTGGTAATCACCGGCCGAGTCCTCCTTAGTTGTGATGTACTTTTGTACCTTCTTGAGGAATTTCGCCTTAGATTTCGGTGAGATCTTGGCTACTGAGCACTTTAGGGCCAACTAGAGAGGAGGTCGTTGATGGCGGCATGCATGGAGACCATTGGGTCGAGGTCTCAGACCTCAAACTCTTCCTTCTTGAAGCGGTCGATGTAGGACCGCAGGTTCTCGCTGCACTTCTGCTTGATGGACATTAATGAGATGATGCTCTTCTGGAATCGCATGCTATTGATGAAATGAGCAAGGAATAAGTTGGCAAACTGCTCCCACGAGCTGATGAAGTGAGGTGGGAGGTCGGAGAACCATCGCCGAGCTGCCCCCTTCAAGGTTGCCTGGAAAGTCCGGCACATCAGAGCATCGGAGTACCCATAAAGGAGAATGAGTGCCTTGAAACTTTCTAGGTGGTTGTCGGGGCCTATTGTCTCGTCGTACATTTCTAGTGTCGGAGCTTTGAGTGTAGGGGAAGGGGCTCGGAGATGACGTCCGAGGTGAATGCTTCCATCCTTCCAATTGGATGGCTCTAGTTGGCCGAGGCATCAGATCAGCTCTATCTGACTTGGCGAAGCTCGTCCTTGATAGCTCCAAGCTGGGCTTGTAGGTCCATGATTCTTTGGTCAAAGGGGGCTTGCTTACCATTCCAGTCTTCACAAACTCGGTGGGGGTCGACCCGGACCCCCAAGTACTCGGACGTAGGGCTACGTCCATCCCTTTTGGCCCGGCAGTTATTCAGGAGGTCTCGAAGACCTGAGACCTATGAGGAGAGGCATGGCATCGGCCCTTGACCCTCGAGAGGGGGCTGTGATGGCTGGGGCGCCTGCCTTCGTCCCTAGAGTTCTCTCTTCTTCGGTGGCAGTGATGTTGTTCAGAGTTTTGGCAATTGTCGTGAGATAGTGCCGATTCTTACCCCCTTTGGCTAAGAGGTCTTGAGGCTCTCGACGGCTGGTTAACGCATCGGTTATTGCCGGATTCCAAAGGTTCGGCTTGAGGGGAATCGATGGGGCCGGGGGCTAGCGGGTCAACGGACTCGCGTTCCCCTCGGTGGCCCAAACTCCCAGTGGGGTGGCCTCCTGCTTGTGGTTACGCCTCATCAACCCGTCAGGTGAGGTGGTCCAACCGAAAAAGGACCGCTTGAAGTTGTTCCGTGGTAACCAGGTTCTGAGTGTTTCACGTGTTCCTCACCATGTTGGCTGAGGCTTAGGAGTTGATTCTTTTGGTGTGGAGTTAAATTAAGGGAAGACTTATCGACGCTTTCCATAGACGACGCCAATTGTTGATGCTCGGATTGGACGAGGGATCAACGCGATAAATTCGCTCCTAAGCCGAGGTGGCTAGTAGAGGTGTCTAAAGTGCAAAATGTCCGAAGCCTGAGGTACGAAGGAACTCAGACGGGGCCGTAGGAGAGGATAAAGAAACTCCAAAGAGAGCTTGGGAGTCTTGAGTTCTAGATCCCTTACCTTGATGGTGGTACCTCCTATTTATACTTGAGTCTACCGAGTAATGGCAGATCTCGGGTGGTCAAGATGAAGTCGGTACGCATGGAGCGAGGCCATCTAAGGCCGCTAGGTGACACAACGAGGTTGGTCCCGCAAGACCCGCCGAGCCCATCCCTGAGTGCGCCCTGATTTGCCCCGCAAGACCTCCTAGCCATTGGTTTAGCCAAATGTGCCTACGAAGGAATACTAACAAGTCTTATGGAAAACCAAACAAAATGAGGTGGGTAGTTTACCTTTTTGTGGATTTTGATCAAATAGCCAAATGTGCCTCCTAGCCCAAGCACGCCTCTTACATGGTTCCAATGGATAAATACATCCAAAAATGAGTTGTAATGACTCTCAGTACAAAAAAAAATACATTTCTACCGGCAGTTTTCGAACCGGCTATTTGGCGAATTGATCTTTAGCGGCAGTCAATTAAAACTGCCGCAAAAAGCACGGGCTAGGTATTATCGCCTTCTTCCTTCCCTCTTTCTTTTTCAGGTTTCGTCTTCTTCCCGCCCTCTTTCTCTCAGCCATCTCTCTTTCGCTCTCTCTCTCTATTCAATCTCACCTATTAATTTCTCTTTGTTTTCCACTGGACAACACCAACCGGCGATGCCTAGGTAAATCAAAACCCGAATTGATCAATTCATCACCGGAGAACATCCTGTCCTTTATTGTTCAGCCACTCTTCAACACTTCAATCGACATTTTCTCTTCTGAATCAGTTAGTATTCAATTTTGGTATAATGAGGATAATTACTCAATCAACACGAGGTTTTAGAGACTTTCCTTCTATTTTCTGATAAGTTTTGGTGTTTATATTAATCAGAATCAGTTCAGCCAAACTGTATGCTCAAGTTGATTTCATAAAATATCTAGCTATAGAGTTTAGGTTTGTGATTCTTGTTGTATATCTGATTCTTGCTTTTGTTCCTGAGAGAACCTCTCCCACTCAAATAGGTATGAGCTAGCCCACGTGCCATGTAAGGGTTTGTGAGTTTGTAACTTATTTAAGTTAATGTCCAGACTTGCAGTTCATGTTCCTCTAGTATGTATTTCTAGTGGAGTTTGCAGGTCATGCGGTTATTTTGAAGCCGGAAGCTCTGGTAGAGTCCATGTGTATTGCTTCGACGAAAGTCTGAATCTCGTTCTCATCAGAAAAGATCTCGAGCTCTTCGTACAGGTAAGCTTGTGCTTTGATCAAAATAGTGGAAATAGAAACGGAATTTGCTGCAATGCAACTTTTCTTTTTCAAATTACTATTCAAGGGCCTATCTGATTCATGGAATTCGAATTGGATTCTTGATTCCATCTCTTAGAATCGAAATTCAGATTTGCATATCTGTTTGTCCTATGCGCCACAGAATTAGAATGTTTTTTAGATCTTTTAGACTGACGTCCTGAGGTTGGAATTTTACTACTTCTTTGTCTCTTTTTGAACAATTAAACTTGAATTCAAATAATAGGTTTACGTTTGGATTGGAAATGGAAGTGGAATTTGTTCGTTGTAATGCAATGAGTTTAGAGAAGATTCTCAGATAACAATGGTAGACCCTATATTGTGCATGTTATTGGGATTGAATTGGAATAGAGTATTAGATTGCTGCAGTGAACTACATAACTAGAACTCCCTTCAATTTCTTTAATCCTTCGTTTCTAATTTTCTACTGTTTTCTTGTCTCTGATTTAGACAATTACAGGTTTCTTGTTTTGGGGCTTGTCTACTAGGTTTTCTGTGGTGTTTTATTTGTTTTAAACCATAGACACTTTTATCCCTTCTAAAAATCTTTACCATATAATGTTGATACTTGCCTTGGTTTCATGACAAGATAACATCAAAAACGTTTTTCCTCTATTTAGAAAACCTATCAAAATGCTCTTTTTTCTTCTCTGTCTCTGGCTTCTTGCTTTATTCTCTGAATGTTTCTTGCCTCTACATTTTTGGCCCCATAATTAAAGATAAATGAAGACATTTTCATGTCAACATTTATGAGGCCCATCCTATGATGTACATGTCTATCGTGCATGTTTTACTCTGTCCATTATGGTTCATTGTTGTTGCAGAAAAAACTGGGTTTGAGTGCATATGCCAATGATCCCCAGAAGGCTGCAGATTGAGAAAGCAGAAGATGTTGTTACTAAAGAGTTGTGTCACAAGACACCAGTCAGAATTGGGGTGTGTATGCAAGTCTTCCATACCTGTTGTCCACTCTGATTGACTTCAATGCATATTTCAGGAAATGACAGGTCTGAGGGCATTGGAAGGTGATGCTTCAGATAGAATTTTGCAAGCGGCAAATCTCATGTTGTTCCCCTTTTGATTTTATGACTTAATTCAGTGTGTATATGCATATGTTTATTTTGCCTTTTCTTATCAACACTCAAATAGGTACTCCTACTCATGGTTTAAAATACTTTGTTTCTAGGTCAGGGATTTTCTTGAAGACAAAAGTTCCTTGAAGTCAAAACCAGAGTGGGTCACTGTTCTGGATGGAACTCAGGAAGGCGCTTTTCAATGGGTATGCTGTTTTGAACTTCACTCTATATACATACAGATTCACAGATTGCATCACAAACTACCTAGTGGACTATGAAGGAATAAACTGAATAAAATGAAATGAAAATAATCTCAATATGGCAATAGAGGGGAAAATAATTGATTTACACCTCATCTCCCCTGAAAAATCAAAATGATCACCATTACTATATACAATCTAATTAAGATAATGTTGATAGTAACCCATGCGTGTAAGCTGGAACTTGAGAAATATCCTACAATTAATGGAGCTAAAAGCAATTTATTCCACTATAGCCATTTTCATCCATAGAATACCTACAGTTTTCTGGTCACATGTTCATATTACAATATTATCATCCTTTGTTCATCATTTTTTTTTTTCAGTTTAGGAAAGAAAATGATTGAAGTTAAATAGGGTCATGCAATTAGTAGGTCAAAAATTTAAAACTTGGATTGGTGCCAATCACAATCATCAAATAATATGGAAAATCCCCAAAAATATTGTCTTAATATTTGTATTAAGTCATATTTATCAAAAAAAAAAACATTTGTACTAAGTCAGAATGGGAAATGCTTGGAAGATTTTTTTCAAGTATCAACCTATAACATCCATACCTGCCCGTGAATTGGCATCAATTCCGAGCTGGCACCTACCCCCAACTGTATGGTGGAGCTAGGATTTCTGGGATAGACTGAACAATAAAAACCCCAAACTTTTAACCACATGGGCTGTTGCTTTCTAGGAATTTCACTTTATGGTTGAGATTATCATTCCTAGCCCAGCCTAGAAAGCCTGGCCTGCACCCGATACTTCTAGGCCTGACCCATGTATATTATGTACAAGTCTTTAGGCCTGGGTTTATATTTCAGACACCGTGTGCAGGTTGGGCTTGGTCTTACTTAAAGTTCCTAGGTGACAAGCCTGGCCCAGCTAATGATCACCCCTACCTTCTGGATAAAGTTTTTATGCAGTAAATGGTGACTATATCCACACTTTCAGACACCTGTTGCTTTAAAATATATCAACCGTTAATGGAACAGTTTCTAGGATATCTAATCCAACAAGTTGGTTCACTAGATTGCTTTTTTGGGCACTGCATCCAAAGATCATGTTAATATCTAGTTAAAGCAACACATCTGTGTATGAAAGCTGAGGGATAAAGAGACTCCCACATGGAGAAGATTCTAACATTATCACCTGGACCACTCTTTTGAAAAAACTGATTTATAATATATAAGTCTAGATCATAGTTTCTAAATATATTCTGTATACAATTAAGCAACAGCCGGAAATGTGCTATTGCTTCTATTGAGGGTTATAGGTTCTTAAAAGCATTGTTTGTAGCTAAGATACAGCAATGAACAGGGCAGGTTGTTGAAAACCATCCGARTGGCTAAAAAGCAGATGGTTTTCAATGGTTTGTTGGGTCAAAGACAGGACATCTGATTCTTCTTAAGTTAGAATTGGACCAGTCCAATTCAATGGTTTGTTGGTCCAATTCATTGTTTTCTACCAAATGCTATATAGTCCTAATAAAAGACAAGTGATTAATCATAATCACATTATTCTTTAAAGTTTATTTTCCAAAAAATTCTGGTTAACCTATTTAGTAGCTATCTTGGCAATTTAAGATTAGGATTGAATCATTAGTTTGTTGATGGATATTTCTATTCTTTGCATTATGACACACTAAAGAGTCCATTCCCCAACTAATTAATAGATGGATTTTAGCCAATTAATTAACAATACAATACACATGAATTCAATTAGGTTTCCTTCATAATTAATTTGAAAACCAGAAGCATAAATATCATCCTCTAGATTCGAATCATTTTAGATAATTAATTATGTTATACTTAAACATCGGGTTTACACTGCAGTTGTACATTGTGGGATATAGCCTCACACCTCACTTAATCTATTTGAAACACCTCTTCCACTGACATTTGTGACTGGATATATGGAAGGTAGCTGATGTATGTATATATGTCTTCATAACAGACGATTTGTTTCTCATACCTTAGAACAGAGGAAACTTAATTCAACATTATGTCTTCATAACAGAGCATAATTTGCCAAAAAATAAAAACAGAGACAGTATAATTCCATAAATGTATTTGAAGTTAAGCAGGGATGCATATAGACACCATAATACCAGTAATACAAACTTGGCAGAATTGAATATATATTATGTATGTATATATGTACTTCCATCCATGATGAGATGGTTTTGCATAACCCATTCCCCCGAACAGTCCTTTCCCCCTCAGAAATCCTAGCTCCATTGTACAGTTGGAGGTAGGTGCCAGCTTTGAATTGTTGTAGGTCTGCAGTTCAAATCAGAACTCTGAGGTGGAGTACAATCTAAAAGTCCCTAAAATCTTCTTTTATAGGCTTTTTTAACGGTGAAGTTAATAGAAAAGAATTGATGGATTTGATTCCCAAATCATGCTTGCTGATTGCCTTGTCCATTGAATGATATTTTTATATACTAACAAAGGTTAATGATTTGAATTTTCTTGGGATGATCAAGATATCGCTTAAATTTAACAAAAGAAAAGTGATAGTGATTCGTTTTCAAATTTATAATTTTATGCTTTTTAAATTTTTCCACATATTTATAAATTAAATGGCATTTGGGACATGACTTCCTGAGTCCACTACCTGACTCCCAGAGTCCTGGGTTGACTTCACTTTCAGGCTTTCTGAATTAAATGTAAGAGCCAGCCTGTTAGTGAGTGGTACTTCAACTACTTTAGTTCACTAAGTGCTCATAGCTCAGTGATATTTGAAGCTTTTGTTTGGGTGCAAAATTCTGAGTTGAGCTACTCCCTTGTCCTATGATTTTCCAGGAGGAGAAAAGGACACTAGAGAGGGAACTAGCAAGAWTTAAAGTTTCAGCTAATCGAGTTGCAGCTGTGGTGGCTAACGAGTGGAAAGATGATAATGACAAAGTCATGCCCATTACGCAATGCCTGGAGGAGCGGAGGTTCTTTCAGGTACTTTCCTGCTTAAATCCCAGAAAATGTAGTTCATATTTTGTAAACCCAGCTGTTCTTCATTCTGGATCATGAGGCATTTGTGGTGTTCCTCTAGAACATCAACAAATACATATATTTCAAAATAAAAACATTGGATGGATACCTCTAATTGATATTAAAATGAAAAGAATTGAGTTCGCAAAATAGGCAGTAACATATACAACTGATCTATTCCAGAAGATCCACATCCAGAAGAAGAATTCCTGTTGACCCAATGGAGTTTGGTTGGAGTATGATCAAAACGTGAGTTTGTTCAATCAGCTCCAATGGAGCAGAAAACTTGTATCCTTTCCCATTCTTTTCTTCCAATGTGTTGTTTTCTTCAGAGACATATCTAGCATGGAAAATGAATAATATAACTTTTGATTTCTCTAAAGTGGTTGACCCAAAAAATCCTCTTTACCTTGATGATAGTTTCAATGGAGAGACTATTGACTGGGAATTTGGGTTTTCTACCCAATCCAAGGGGATTTCATCCAGTTTGAATGGCAAAAAAGAGATTCATGGTGATGTGAAAATATCTTCTATTACTGGGTCAAACAAGGAAGTAGACAATGCTGACGCCAGAATAAATACCAAAAGGAAGCGTAAAAATAAGAAGCTATCTGGTTTTTCTCCACCCATTGAACTTCTTTTCTGCTCTCATTTCTTCTCTTTTCTCTCTGGTTTTCTCTTATCAAGTGATTAATCTGGACTATTATGACAGGACTAATTTGAATAGGTGATAAAGGAATCCTTCCTGATTATTTATTTGTTTCTTATTCTATCAGGTGGAAAGAGCACTCGATGTTGCTGAAAAACTTGTAAGAACATCACCTGATGAACTCCAGCATGTGTCTGGTGATCTTGTGAGAGCTCTTGCGCAGGTCCGTTGCTCTGATTTGACCATCAAAGGGGAGGAAGAATCAGCTGAAATAAAGAGGCAAAGAGCACTAGTTGTATTGCTTGTCACATGTCCATTTGAACCTGTGGATGTCCTCAACAAACTATTATACTATCCTAATGTGGATGTTAGTCAACCTATCCTGATACTTGATGTAATGACTGATGCAGCTGAGGAGCTTGCAGATGCTAAAATCATCAGGCCAGAACGGAATAAGAAGATACTTATATCATCAATGTCAGAGAGCCAGCCATGGTTTTTGCCTAGTAACAGAGGACCTCCTGGAGTAGGTTCCTGGAAAGAGGTCTCAGACACAGGACCTTTAAGTTGGTCATATCGATATGAGAGAGATCTTCCCTTGAAACCAAATCAGATCAAAGTGGGGAAGTCACGAAGATGGAGTATTCGATCAACCAAGATACAAGAAAACCAACTGGACTTGTCAAAAAATAAATTCCCTGTATATGTAGCAGCATTTATGCTCCCAATACAAACATCAATCATTAAATTCTTTTTCATATTTATTAATGAAAAATTTTTTGGGTGAATTCTGATCTTGATCAAACTATCTTGTAATTGATGTTTTTTTATTTTTTGTATTTTATTTTGGTATAAATGAATATAGAGAAAACAGGTAGTTTGAAAAAATTAGAAAAAAAAAAAATTGGTTATTTGAAAAAAAAAATACTTTTAGCGGCAGCCGAATTAGAATTAGCGGCAATCGCGACTGCCACTAATATACGTTTTAGCGGCAGTTGAGCATTTATACCGGCAGTTGTTATAACTGCCACTAGAACATTTTAGCGACAGATATTTTAGCGGCAGTTTACTGACTGCCAGTAAAAACTCTAGCGGCAGTTTCAGGGACTGCCGCTAAAAGTCATTTTTCTTGTAGTGTCTCTTCATTCTCCTCTTCTTAATGGTTGAACCCCTTCTTGTTTTAGGTTTTCTTTTTTTCTTTTTTCTCTTCTTTTTTGCGTCAAACCAATCTAGGGTTTTCTCTTCCTTTTCTTCTTCTTCCTTGGACCAAACCTAGGGTTTCTTATTTTCTTCTTCTTCCTCCTTCCTTGGACTATTTCGGTCCTCTCTTTCTTTTCTTCTTCTTCTTCACTCCACTCCTAGACTGGTTCAGCCTAGGGTTTCCTCTCCACCAAGCCCTCCTTTTCTTTCTCTTTATTTTTCTTTTTGTCTTCTTCATCTTCTCCTTTCTTCTTCTTTATTTATGTCAAATGGGAATTGGGGATTCTTTTTCTTCTTCCTTTCTTTTCTATTCTTCTTTTTCTTCTTCTCTTACTCCTTTGGATCGACTTAGGGTTTTGTCACATGTTTCTTCTTTTTCTTCTTCCTTATTCCTTGGCCAAATGGAAGACTACTTCAATCTCTTTTCCTTTGTACTTCTTCTCTCCCTCTTGGGTTGAATTGGTTAAATACCCTTCTCCTTTTCTCTTTCTTCTTTATTCTTTTCCTTCTCTCCTTGGGTTGAACTAGTTCGGTCCCCTTCTCCCAATGTCTCTCCACCTCTAACATCTCTCCCTTTTTTCTTTCTTTCCTTTCTTTCTCTCCTTTTTCCTTTTTTGGTATCTCCTCCAAAAATACATCTTTAACCAAATTCCCTTTCTTCCTACATTCTCTCATTTTTCTCTTCTCTTCAAACCCTCCAACATATCTCTCCTCCCTTGACCCCTTGATCAAGTTGATTGCCTCCTAGAAAAACTCTCTCCTCTTTATTGTCTTTCTCATTAATGCTTAGAAATCCCTCCACAACTTGAAATTCAAACTTCCCTCTTAGTTCCTTTTTTTACCAAAATTTGAAAAGCCTCTCTTGAGGGAGGCAACTGGGGTTTTTACATTAGGGTTTTAAGAGGTTAACAACTAGAAGGGCCGAATCTATGGTGCAGATGCATAGAGAGGTCCAATCAATGGTTTAGATTAGCTCTAGGGTGGGGTTTTGGGCAACTTGTGTTAGATAATGGATTTATATAAGTTCATTAACTCAATTGACCTTAGCACAAACTTGAGTCAGAATAGACCAGTTCAAAATAGGAATTGATTATTTAAGCAAAATTATTTGTATCAATACTAGAACGTTTTGGAATAATAACTGAAGGGAAAAATAGTAAATTAACAAAATATAGGAAGATTATAGAATATGGAGGTCCAAACAATATAAATAGGGCCCCATTATAAGGAGAGGAGAAACCTTCATTTTATCTCTCCTTCTCTCTCTCTCTCACTTCCTTGAATCATTGACCTTCGAGAGACTACTATTCTCTCCCAAACTATTAGAGCCAAACCATTGCTACTACCTTATCACACATCATTGTCTTACATTAGGGCAATAGGAGCAAGTGAGGTAACATTCGCCCTAGAGGACATGGTGGGTTGAAGACCCAGAGCACAATAATTAAGTTGCTATATATTTCAGCAAGGTTGAATGGATATGAGGCATTGAGAGTCCAACTTGACCATGACAATTAAGTGAACGTAACCACCATCCATACTTTCACGCAGATGTGGGGATCGTAGAGAAGGACATCAAGGGGATACCAATGGAGCTCTTATATTTCAATGCCACTGTCTCTACAACTCTGGGCTCCATTGTGATCATTGTGGATATGAGTCCTTACCAATTGAAGGAGTTTCATGTGATTGTCGACCACACTACTTAGCAAGCCACTGATCCCATTATATTATAATGTAGTGTACTTCATGGAAGTAGCTACCAAGTTTTGAGTCCTAATTGGTGAAGATGATTGGCTACGACCTATGGTAGTAATAACCTCTATCAAATGCCCCTAAGACAAACACCCAAAATTTCATAGAGCTATTGGAGCCCACAGTCAAAAGGAGGATTGGTGGACCTGTTATGTAAAAGTTATCAAGACAAACAACAAGTCCTACTACACCTTGGTGCCTGGGGAAGCTTATGAAGGGAGGTAGTATATGTTCATCAACTATGTATCCATACATCTATGTCAGCTTGTGTTCATCAACAATGTAGTCAACCATCCACTACCCCTAATGTAGAAAACTAGTTTTGACGGCCATCCTTTAGGCCTCTTAATAAAATTCCTGCCCCCTTGCAAAAGAGGAGGTAAAGTTCTAACAATTAAACTTTTAGCAATACCTAATCACTTGTTTATCTAAAGTACATGTCTAGTATGGAGAAGTCTGTATGTTCCATGATATGAAAGAAATTGTGTAATGTCCACTAAAAGCACACTACAATAGTAAATACCACATTTAGTTAGGTATGGAAATTTCTACCCTACCCGATGAGTACTCACCCTAACAGGGTGGGTTTTTTTGCTTGAAGGACAAATTTTGGGGTGGGGACAGGTTTTGGGATTCTACAACCCATACAGGTACAGGTAGGGTATGTATTAGGCAAAGCCTGACCCTCCTCAACCCATATATTGTTTGAAAACATATAAATTTTATGTATTAGGTGTAGAATTTAATGATATTTTGAATTTTAATCAAATAATTGGAAACTTTGTTGTTTGTTTGTTTGTGTTATTTTACTTATTTATTGCTTTATATAAGAAAAAATAGGTTTGGGGAGGGTTTTGGATTTTCATGTGTGGGAAGGGTTTGGATTCTCAAAATCCAACCAGTTATAGCTTTTGAAGCAGGTATAGGTTGGGAGGTTTAAGGAAGTGAGTAGGGTCTAGAATTTACAAAACTCTCCCCGAACCCACCCCATTGCCATCCCTACACTCAGTCCTTTGCAAATAGAAAGAATGATAATCTATTGCCACAATACATCTTTTTACTATTGCTATCTAAACATAGTGCACACATAAATATTTGATCTTATAGATTATCTAAATTGCAAAGTGTACATGTATAACACAATTATTCAAGGGGTAAAATGTTTTGAGTGTAAAATTTGGTGGGGTGGATGATGGTGGTCATAAAAGCGTGATGGTGAGGTTTGAAGGTCTCGAAAGCAGGGCTAGAAAGAGAATATCTGATTTGGGAGAGCTTCGGCCAATAAGAGTTGTTGAATTGGAATCTTTCTTATTCGAGGGATAAAATGGGGAGAGTGGTTGAATCAGACTATTTCTTGTTATAGGTGTAAAATGGGGATTTTGAGTCTAAAATTTGACAAGTGGATGATCAGGGGTCACAAAAGGGTAATTGATTAAGTTTAAGATTCTTAAGAGTATATCTGAAAAGAAAATATTTGATTTGGATTTGCAACCAATGAGTATTGTTAATTTGGAATCTTTCTTTCATGAGGTTTTAAATGAGGATTTTAAGTCTAAAATTTGATGGGTATATGTGCAAGTTCTTAACATGGTGATGGTAAGCTTTGGAGGTCTTAGAAGTAAGGTCGAAAAGATAGTCTCGAGAGTTGTGGCTAATGAGAGTGGTTGAATTGAAATCTTTCTTTTTCAAGGGTAAAATCAGAATTTTGAGTCACAAATTTGACGAGTTAATAATTGGTTTTTAAGTCTGAAATTTGATGGGCAGATAATCGGGGGTCTTAAAAGGGTGATGGTGAGGTTTAAGTGTCTTGAGAGTTGAGCCAAAAAAAAGAATCTTTGATTAGGAAAGTTATGGCCAATGAGAGTGGTTGGATTAGAATATTTTTTAATAGAGGGGTAAAAATGAAGATTTTAAATCTAAAGTCTGGTAGGCGATGGTTGGTGATTTTAAAAAGGTGATGGTATGTTTTGGGGTCTTAGAAGAGGGTCCAAAAAGAGAATATTGATTTAGAGAGTTATTTTGGGGCTAATGAGAGTGTTTAGTCAGAACCTTTCATGTTTAAGGGGTAAAATGAATATTTTGAATCAAAAATTTTTCAAGTGGATGATGTGACGACATAAATTGGTGATGGTGAAGTTTGGAGGTCTCGGAAGTGAGTTTGGAGAGGAAATATCTAATTTGAGAGAGTTTAATCAAAATCTTTCTTGTTCAAGGGGTAAAATGAGAATTTTTGGACTAGAATTTGATAGGTAGATGATTGGGGTCTTAAAAGAGTGATGGTAAGGTTTGTATGTCTCGGAAGCAAGGCTGGAAATAGAATATCTTATTAGTAGAGTTGCATGCAATGAAATGAAAGTAGTTAAACCGGAATATTTCTTGTATAATGGGTGAAATTGGGATTTGGAGTCTACAACTGAATTAGTAGATGATCAGAGATCTCAAAAGGGTTATGGTGAGGTTTGAGAGTCTTGGGAGTTGGGCCCAAGCAAGAATCTTTGATTTGGAAAGTTGCAAGCAATGAAACTAGTTGAATCAGAACCTTTCTTGTTTAAGGGGTAAAATGGGGATTATTAGTTTAAAGTTTGGCATGTGGATGATCAGTGGTCTTAAAAAGGTGAAGGTAAGGTTTAAAGGTATTGGGATCCATAGGGGTCCTAGATGTATAAGAATAAATCCTGATCAATGACAACCCTCAATGTGGAATCTAAGGTGCAGAGTTTGGTGAGCCTAGAGTTATGTTGGGGTACCAGATATCAGATTTAAAGGTTATTACCTAAAGGATGATCATCTTGTGATCATAGTGTAAAAATTCAACAATTGGATAGGTCAAAAA